CTAATGTGTTAAATCTCAAACTAATAATTACATAGAAAAGTGGTAAGAAAGCTTATTTTATTTGTTTTTAATGGTTGTGCACCTTTCATATGAAGTTAAGAAGGGTAACAAATTCTAGAATAAATATTTTTCTTACTTGTATTTTTAGGAAGGCTGATTTCATTGGTTTCTACTTGTAAGAAATATTGCCAATTTCTACTAATAGAAATAATTACAATTCAAGAATATTATTTTTAAAAATTTAAATAATAAAATAATTCTTCTTATGATGGCTAATTAGGAGGCAAGTAAATTTTCAAAATGTTTCATAAAAAAAGATTCCATTTCTATGAAATAAACCCAACTTTTCCACTAAATATTCACATGCATTTTGAATTATATTCCAACTAAAATGTTTTCTAAAAATGGCTAAAGTTCTTAGAATATCCATATGCATTGAAAAGCTGTATTTACATACAATTCTACTGTTATTAGAATACAAATTATGATGAAAATATTTAAAAATGCATAACAATAAATTATTTTTTGATTATGTCAGATATTGTTGGGGCAAATGACAGGCAATTTAAATATAATATTGGTAGTCTGGCCCTTAGCTGCTATATTAATTATGTTTATATCTCTATATATTTTGGTGAGGTTTATTACTCACGGGACCTAATTCAACCTGTAGTTTCTCCACAACCATAGACATCAGGTGTTATCTTGATTTTATCCAAAGAAACAGAAGGTTTCTAGCAGTGAAGGTTGTTCCATAATATCTATAATAATCTATCAGGTTTCCATTAAATAAACACACATATGTACACACACCAAAACAACAACCCATAAAAAAAAAACTTTGGATGCAGGAGGAACCCAGATTAACTAGGAAATCTTTAAAGTAATAGGTGTTAAGACCAACTAGATGGGGAGTACAAGTGACCCATCTTCCTTTGTAATGGAGGGGTTGAGCTATAAATAGAAATCACAGTAACCACCTTTTCTGTCACAATCTTAATCGGGGGAAAATGTAAAATATCTATGATCCCTAAAGCCTTAGCATGAGATCACAGCTAAAGAAATAAAGTTTTTAGTACCATTGTTACCTATCTAAAAATTCTGGAGGTTCAGACAGAGAAAGTAAACCTTGTTAAGAAAAATGTAAAATGTTGTTGTGGGGTGGTACAGACTGTGATATTTAGATTTCAGAATATTTTAGAGATCTTTTAATTAATAAACTGTTAATGAATAAAGTTTTTTTCATACCATATGTTGTGGTTCATATGAGCATGATGTAAATTATTAGACTGGACTACATATCATTAGTTTTTTTCTCAATAATCCTAACGATAGGGAAAAATGTGAACTTTCGAGATAAAGTAATAAAAAAGATTGCTTATTCATAAAAATTAAAGTATAGCTACCCTAAGTCTGGATACAGTCATAAAAATAAACAGACTATTTTCTTGAATGAATACCGTGGAATCACTGAATCTCGGTCTCTTTACAAACCTCTTTTTGTCATGCAGTAATAAGTTAATAATGTGAAAAACTAATGAAAAAGTTTGGTGATTTTAATAATTAACGATGAAATTGCATAATATAAATTACTACCCAGTTACACATTTAACAATGTTAAGAAATGGCTTTCTGAAAGATAGAGTAAATGTGTTGTATTAAATCCTATCAAGTTCCTTTCCTCTTGTTTTTATTGTAGGAAAAGCACACATGTACTTGCAATCTATATTATTTAAAACCTTAATACGCAAATAGACTAAACGGTGGACAAACCAAATAACCAAACAACCAAACAACCGGTCACTTTGATGTATGCTGACCACCAGGGGGTGGTGGGCATCAGAAGCAGGTGGCAGAGAGCAGAACATGGCGGGTGTCAGCTGAGGCAGGATGGTGGAGCAGGTGAGCGGGGGTGCCAGACCAAGGCAGGGTGCTAGTCATCAGGGAGAGCCTCTAGTGGCTACTGAATATTCTTTGCTCCTGCGCCTTGGTCCTGCCTGGCATTCACACCTGCTGCACTGGCCCTGATCACTCAATACCATTAGAGGTACAAGTGGCGGTTAAGGCCCTGATGGCCCCTGAGGACTTCTCCCCTCCTCCTTGCTCCTGAGAAGCAAGCAGGGCCGGCAGCTGCCTCCTGCACCTGCTGCCAGCACCAGAGACACTGCTTGCACCTATTGCCAGCACTGGCACTGGCCCAGCCCCACCTGAACCCAGCACCAGAGTCGCTGCTTGCATCTGCTGCCAGCATCTGGTGCCGGTCCCAATTGCTCAACACTGTCAGCGGTGCAAGTGGAGCTGCCAGCCCCGATTGCCAGCCCCGATTGTCCCTGAGGTTTCTCCACCTCCCCCTGCTCCTGAAGGATGATTGGGGCAGCAGCCACCATTCCCATGCACTGAAGGCACTGGCCCTGCTTCCCTCACTGCTGGTGCAGTCACCAATTGCTCTGCCATCAGACTCCATCAGTGCGTGGGAGCCGTGGTGGCAGGAGGGGATGGAGAATGCACTGGAAGGGGCCGGGCAGGGGCACAGAGGATGGGATGAGACCTGCCCCTGTGCCCACTACAGCCTCTCAGCCCATAGTTCCGTTCTAGGTGCACAAATTTGTACACTGGGCCCCTAGTATCTAAAATAAATTTGCATATTTACTGGTATTCTAAGAATGAGTATTATATAGTAAAGATGGAGAAAGGAATTGTTATAGCTCTCCCCAAAGCACAATATAATAATATGTAGAATACCAGAAGATAAAGCTGTGATTAAAAAAAATCATGTGGCCTAAGAATGCACCTTGTCTCTATAACAAAGTAAATCATGAAATATGGTAAATTATAAGGAGGCTCTCTTTGCTGGTTAGCTCATACAATGATTTTCCTCTGATCTATGAAATCTAGTTCTTAATTCAGTATCAAGTATTTTAGAACTGACGTTCAATTTTTTTAAGCAAAATTTAATTTCCTTGAACATTTCTTACTGAAGCAGAAAGAAAAGAATAACGTTTCTATTAAAATGCTCTTAGTTCTTGACATAAAAAACTTATCAAAAGCAATTAAATGCAAAAGATTAGAATAAGAGACCTATACATCAAATATATAGTGAACTCGATGTGAGTAAAAGAAAATATGCCATGTAAAATAAAAAATTAAGAATTAACATTTTTGAAGAGAAGAGAATTTTGCCAAATTTAAAAGAGTACAATTGCAACTTAAAAAGATTTGCTTAAAGGAGACTGAACATATTATAGAAAGAACCCATTCTCATATACCCAAATTTAACCATATATTTTCTCTTCAACAATAATTTTCATTTACTTCAAAGGTTGGTGAGATTCTCTGAATAAGGAACAAAATCAAAAGCCATTCTATTTTTTAAAAACTGCGAATGTTTAAATTGGAAAGAGTACAGATTTTCTCTGTGAGCTTTTGATTACATTTTATTACTAAAGAATGATTTCATTTTAAATTGGTCACTAATGTAAAACAAGCATAGCCTCTAAATGAAAAGAAATTTAACTCTGACGTATACAAGCAAGATTGTGTGACACAATTCAAATCTAATTAGAATCAGATCAATCAATCAACTAATTTAATCAACAACAGTAAGTTTCCATGACTGCAATTAGATATGTTCCTGTGTTTCTGTCCATTTAGTCTACCTTCTTTTTTGTCGTTATGCCGATGCTCCTAGCTAAATGAGTCCTGCACTTATCCATATGATTCCCATCTTCTCTTAACTACTTCGAGACGTATTCCAGCAATCCTTACCTCTGTCTATTACCTGGATATTCCCTCCACCTTTCCTTATTTACTCCCATCAGTATGCAAACATGATTATTATTTCTCTCATCTAAGAAAAAAAATCACCTGCCCACTTTAGCTACTGCCCTGGATATCATGACCAAGGCCTTTTCTGTGCCCTGGCCAAAATCACAATCATCATCCTGATTTAATTTTCTCTTTAGCATTTAACATATTTTAATATTAAATGCATCCATTTTGTTATTGTCTGACTAGAATTTAAACTCTACAAAAGCAGACATTTTTGTATTTTCTTCTCTACTGCATAGAAAAGTTTCTGGTACATAATAGACAATCAAAAATATATTTGCTAAATAAATGAATCCAACATTAATTGTGAGAATAATGGCTTATGCAATAATCATGTAAATATTAAATGAGTTCAGGGGCCTCTGTTTCTAGAAAATCTATAAAACTCTAGTAAAATAATCCATGGGTTAAAAAACCTGCTTGCTGGATGCTTGACCAGAGGGACTGCGAAAGGCTTAGGAATGTGTATGATTGCCAGAGGGAGGGGAAGGAAGGGAGATCGGGGTCCTTATATGAGGTGACAGGAGAATATTTGACTTTAGATGGTGGGAACATGGTCCTATGTACAGTTTTTATAAATTAGTGATCCACACATGAAACCTATATATTCATGTAATCTAATGTCACCCCAATAAAATTTCATTTAAAAATAAAAAATTTAAAAAATGTACTTATAATAAGATTTTTTTTTAAAGTGCTATTTCTCCTTCTCTTCTCACCAACCCCATGTCATCCCATTACAATTCCTTTTCTGAACAGTGGGAGAAGGTCTCAACTTCAGGGTTGTCTAAAGCATTCTAGATTTATACCACTGCTGCCTTATCCCACCCGAGCTAGATTTTATCTCAAATGTTAAAGGCAGCCATCTTTGAGCTGGAGATATTTATCATGAATACCTTGCTTATTACTTATGCATCATTGTTTAACAAGAATAGTATACATTGGTTTGTATGTATGTGTTCATGCTTGCTTGTTTTGTTGTTGCTAATGAATTGCTGCATTTTATAATAAATATTCATGGTTAACATTAGTATTTAAGGTTTTAGACTAGAAAGTCTAAAGAATTTTTTGAAGAGTTTTTTTTCATAGCATTTTTCATTATGGATTATTATAATTAGAGTGATAAGCCCAGGTGAAATATACAAAAGAGGAAATAAGTGTATTTATTTTACCTGGAGCTAACGCTGAAGGATCAGGCAGGTTTTTATCTTCCTCATCAGTACTTTCATCATAGTTTGTATCTCTGTTAACAGATATTTCAGAACCTGTTGTAGTTTCTCTAGAAAAAGAAAAGTTAGAATTATAAATTATTGGCTCACCTCTGGCTAGATATCAAATTCATTAGTAAGTAATTATAGAAAATATACCTGGAAAAACATTATAATTAAACAAACATATATTGAAACATATATAATTAAGATGCAATCACTTATGTTAATTATATCTATTTATATAAAAGGCTAAGTGACCGACAGACGGTCTGTCCAACTGACTGAACGGTTGGTACCTATGATGTGCCCTGGCAATTTAAGAATAAATGTTGACTTGTGCATGTGCGATACATAGAAAACTCTCACTGGCACCAATCACACATGTGTGTTTCGATCTATCATTGTCGATCATTAATTTGGTTGTTTTTGTTGACATCTAAGTTAAAATTGTAAATACTTCATCAAAGGGAAATTAGTCAAGCACTCTGAAAATGTTTTTACTCATAATGTGATATATAGAAAGATGTTAGAATAAGTTTAATCAATTTATCAGTCACTGTTTTTATCAATGTTGTTTTTATATCACGTTTTTGTTGTTTTATATCATATCTTTGTTGTTGTTATGTCATGTTGTTATTGTTTATTAATAAATTTATATATTATTTTCATATACATTTTACTAATTTTCTTTCATCTCTATCACTTCTATTATAGAGAAAGGGTGAATAGCAATGTTAAAATATTTCTTCTAATTAATCAATGTGCATGAATCTGTTCACTAGGGCAGTAGGGTTAACCTACATATGGTTGAGTGCTCACTATACTTAATTCTTTAATCAGTTTCTTATCACTTATTATTCATTTATCAAAATACTATTCTTCTGGAGTCACAGTGTTTAGTATTTTAATCTCAAAACAGTTCTTCCTTTCATTTGATCTGAAAATTCTGAGTCAAATGCTTTTATTCATATTATGGAGATACTCAAGCAAGGCATAGAGAGTTTAAGGGACTTGCCCAAGGTCATGTAGTGGTAGATGTCAATGTCAGACTAGCACTTGAACTAGGACCATCTGACCATCAAATGTTATATCTTTATACTAGAGGCCCAGTGCACGAATTCGTGCACCAATGGGGTCCGTCAGCCTGGCCTGCAGGACTGGGCCAAAACTGGCTCTCCAACATCCCCTGAGGAGTCCCAGGTTACGAAAGGAGGCAGGCAAGGCTGAGGGACCCTACAGGTACACGATCAGGGTCAGGAAGGAATGCAAGAGGTTGGCCAGCTCGGGAGGGATTGCAGGAGGGTTCCAGGGCATGCCTAGCCTGTCTCTCTCAGTGCCAATTGGCCAGACTCCAGCAGCAAGCTAACCTACCAGTCAGTGTCTGCCCTCTGGTGGTCAGTGCATGTCATAGTGACTGGTCAACCGGTCAACTGTCTGCCCCCTGATGTATAATTAGCATATTACACTTTGAATGGTTGAACGGATGACCAGACACTTAGCATATTAGGCTTTTATTTATATAGGATTATGCCACTAGTAAACTTATGTTTTCTCTTAGATACAAGGCAATAGACCCAAACCTATATCTGCAAATGCCTAAAATAATTGTAAATATCCAAGCCATCAGTCACCTATGATTTTTACTTAAAAAATTCAGTACATACCCTCTCAGAACCAATTAATTCTAAAATTAGCTATTACTTAGTCATTAAGATTACAAATGTGTAACTATTCTGTAGTTGTTCAAAACATTAATTTTTTAAATTAATATATCTCTTAGTGATGTCTAAGAATTAAACCAGTAATATTTAGATAAACTTCATGCCAGTTTCATGATTTAAGTGTAAGTGGGGCAGACATGGAAAGATCAGGCTGAGATCTCCACACCATTGTATCTTACAGTGAGCACATCCAACCCCACCCACACTATCAAATAATCTCATATTATCAAAGAAAAGCACCTAAATTTCATGGAGTTTGGGAAGAAATTCCTCTTAAATTTGTGCATCTGTCACCTCAAACCAGAATGGTCAAAATACCTTTCATGCTCAATGTTCTTTTCTAGTTCTTGAACTTCGTTTAACAATTTATGTAAGCTTCTGATCTTTGCTTTCTTCTCATTCAGCACCAGAATAAATCGTTTATAAAGATCAGTCTCCAAATTTTCCTTAGCATTCACACATTTTTCAAACCTAAAATGTAAACAAATAAATAAACCATGGTGTTTTTCTTAACATCTACACTAATAAAAGAGAAAGATGCGAATTGACCATACCTTCATTACACCCACCAGCCAATCAAGAATGAGTATGCAAATTAACCCAACAAAGATGTAGGTTCAATTTGCATGTACAGGCAGCCAAGTGGATGGGAGCAGGATGTGTGTGTTGTCACCAAGGTGACAATGCAGGCATTCCATACCACCCCTGCCACTCCACACTATCCCAGCCACGGTACCGTCCCAGCCGCTCCGGGCCTGGGAAGGCGGAAAGGCAGCTCTGGCTGGAGCAAAGGTAGTGCCGGCCGCCAGGGGAAAGAAGGCCCATTCTGGCCCAAATCTTCGTGCATCAGGCCTCTAGTTAATATTATAAAATTTAATAGTGAAGATTATTTCAAGAAAAATTTTCAAGGAAAATGCAATTAAAAATGATTTTTACATGCTTCCACTGATTTAATTTAAAGTTTTGTAGAAATAGTTAAATAAATCAGAACTTATGGTTTATTATTGTTAATAATTTATGTATTGAGATAAGAATAAAAACTAGAAACTGATACCAAAAAACTTTTAAAACATCTAAATGCCTAAATGCAATAATTCAGTCACATATCCAGTTTATTTTCAAATGAATATTTTTATGGGAGAAAGTCAAACAAGAGTAACTAAAGCCTATATTTCCTATACTTTTTAATATTACTCAAATAGCAATAGTAATCTTGTTTTGTGATTAAGCGATTTGCCTAATCTGTTTCCCCTAAATAGATTATGACCTCCCCTAAGCCAGTTGTAGCTTATAACCCAGCAACACACACACTCAAGCACTTGCAAACAAAATGAATGAAAATATACAATTTGAAAATTCCAAGCAGTGACTAATGAAACAGCAAATGTGAAACACTATATAACTTCAATTTTAGACATGTAAGACAAAACATAAAATTCTCTATTACTTCTACAATATTCAAATGAGCTAATGGAGTGTACTAATTTTGATCTTTCAGATACACTACATAATATAAAGAAAGCAAACTAGCAGAATTTGCATGTACTTGATATGTGCATATATACACACCATGAATAAACATCTATGTAAAGACTCAAATATAAATTATTTTATATAAAATATGCTTTTAAATTTAGTCTAGTTCTGCCTTACTTTTCTCTTTAGCATATTGTTTATTTGTGCTTTTGCTGTTCTATGCAAGTATCTTAGTATTTTCACTATATGTATTTTTACATATCTATACTATTTTTATATATTTATAATACACAAAATATTTTTCAGTGAAATGATTAGAAACAAAACTGTAAAAAAATTGATACCTTTGATATATATGCCCTTATGCTTTCAACAACATATCCATCTAGAGCTACAAAGAATTAGGACCTCTGATGTTATGAACAGAAACATATGGCAATATATTTTCTGGGAACAATTACAGCACTCTTATAGCATAGTCATAAAGGCAAAGTGCCTGTGTGTTTTATTGGCTGCTTTATCCTTAGTACCTAGCACAGCTCTTTATTCAACAGATACTGAGTAGTTATTTATAAGATAAATGAATAAAGTCAGTGCATTACATGGACACCTTATAAGGAAATGGAGAACCAGTGATTCTGAATTTTATATTTTTCACTCCTTTATCACCTATTCATCAATGTAGCAGTAATACTTTTTATTTTCTTCAGCTTCTAAAAAATTGTGGTAAATATTAATATCACAAAACTGTTTTTCCTCAAGCAAAGCTCTATGAGAAACAACTGTGTGTGGTGGGGAGCGGGGGTAAAGTTGAAGACCTGCCAATATTGATGGCCTATTTTAAGCATTGGTATTTCTGATGTAAAGTGTTAGATAAACATTAATTCTCATTTTCTTGTACTATTTTATAATGTAACACAATAACACAAATTTTAAAAAGATACATACCATTAAAATACCTAAGTATATAATAATGAAATACTTTAAATCTACACAAAATAAAAACTAATTCTAAAAATATTCATTAAAAATATTGTATAATTTATTATATAAAATTTTAGCAATGGTAATCAATTAGTAATTTATTTGATTTAAATGCATATTTAATTTCCATATAAAACACTTCAATAATCCCTGATTAATAGAGTATGTGAACTTATCAACATGAATTAAAACTGAAAAATATATAAAAATGAAATATCATATAATTTGACTAAAATATTGTTAATCTAAATAATTAGTATCATGGCCACATTGTCAAAGGCAAAAATGCTGCAGTAATAGGAGAGCAAATTCAACAGAATGAGTGGTATCCTACGAGTTAAACTTGCTTGGTTTTAGCTCAAGCTCAGTTGGTTGGAGCTTGTCCCATGCACCAAAAGGTTGCTGTATGGATTCAGGTCAATGCATATTCACAGGCTGTGGGTTCCATCTCAGTTGGGGTGCATACTAGAAGCAGTGATTAATCTATCTTTCTTCCTCTTTAGACATGTCTCTTATATCTATCTTTCTTCCTCTTCCTCTCTCTCCATCCTTCCTCCATTCTTCTCTCAAGTAAGGATAAAAAAATAAATAAACTTGTTTAGTTTTAGCAAAATTTAGGATTTTGTTGCTACCAAATTTCTGACTATCAAACTGGATAACACTTCCTAAATAAAGCTGGGAAGTGGGGCTTAGCAGGAACAGAGTATTACTGTGAAAAATTTCAGGAAATAAATTTACTCTTAATTCATCAACAAATTCAGAGCATGCTATCCTTTTATTCACTATTCAGTACTAAAAGGTAATGACTATTCCCATTCCCCATATTTCATGCCAATCCTCCCTTAGGGCATTAAGTTACCATGCCTTCCATATCACTTGTCTCATGCCAACCCACCAGCTCAAGAATGGTACCATTATTATTAGTAAGTGGTACCATTCAGTAGAAGAGAGGCATGAGATTCACTGCTAAGTAGAGATACTAAAGGAGAACTCATGTACAACTAGATTAGACCACAATTAATCCAAGGCAAAGCTCAAACCTGATGAACCATAAATAACAAACAGGAAAGGCCTAAATGATGTTTCATCTTTTCAAGGCTGACTAGGACAACAGAACAATTATTAAGTTTAATTAGTAACTTAGGACTGAAGCATAAAAAATGAAAAGGATAAACAACTAAATATGAAAAATACTGGATATCCAAAATAAAATATTTCTGGTGGGAAAACAAAGAATCTAAGAATAAGAAGTTTTAAAAAGAACAAAAATAACAGAAATAAGGTAATTTCATACAGAAATAACATCCAAAATAAAACAACAGGTTGAATAATAAACCCAAATAAAACAAAATACATAAATGTGAACATGTGGTACTTAGAAACAGTACAGTAATCCTTGTATTTATAATCAGCTCTGGCAAAATTTATATCCAGGTCAGGGTTGTACAGCATAGGAAAATATAAATAAAGTTCAGAGGACAAAGAATGCTGGAAAAGAAAGCAGTGGTAAAGAGATTTAATAAGCCTTAAGAACAGAAGAAGATAGTAAACATCTGTTCCTCATCCTTTCTGAGGACAGAACAAGAGGAAATGGCTTTCAACTGTACCATGCAGGACTTAGATTGGCCATAGATGGAAAGGGGAAATTCTGACTGTGACTGTTCTTCCACACTGTAATGGGGGACCAAAGGGAGTTGAAGCTACCTCTTGAGGTCTTTATAAATCAGATTGAATTCACCTCCATATAATGTGATTCTAGCTGAAGGCAGATTGATAGAATAGAAGAGCTTTCAAGGTCTCTTCTACTCTAATGATTCAATGTGTGTCAACCAATTTTGATCTGCTGAAAATGGCCTCAAATTATATGTTTAATAACTAAAATCAGAATAAAGCTAGAGAGTTTCTAGCTTGATATAGGAATGCAAACCAGAGACCTACTTAGTAATATGGAACATGAGTTATTTAAAATAAATAGAAAAAAGGTAAAATAAATATTGCTAATAAGCTAAGGGTTTACAGACAATATTTCTAATGTTTTCTCTATTTGAACTATAGAAAATTAAATTAATCCAGTAACATCACTTTTTAAAAATGAAGCTAAGACTAAAATTATTTAAAAGTAAATAAAAACAGCCGAGACCAGTTTGGCTCAGTGAATAGAGCGTCGACCTGCGGACTGAAAGGTCCCAGGTTCGATTCCGGTCAAGGGCATGTACCTTGGTTGTGGGCACATCCCCAGTAGGGGGTATGTAAGAGGCAGCTGATTGATGATTCTCTCTCATTGATGTTTCTAACTCTCTATCTCTCTCTCTAAAAAATCAATAAAATATATATTTTTTTAAAAGTATATAAAACAGCAGCAAATAAAGTCTATACATTAAAACTCATTCTTTTTAATTGTACTGTAAGCCTTCATTCTTTACTCAAAGTTCCTTTACTATCCACTGTCATCCCAAATGGAAATAGGTTTAGAGTTGGCTCTGATTATTATAATATGCTTATTTCAATAGCAAAATATATGCAAAAAAATATCAACAAAAAGTAAAGTAAAATTTAATTCACAATTCCAGGCATAGACTATTAAAGATTCATTTTTTTCTTCTAGATAATCTCTATCTAAAGATATATTTTGCAAAAAAAGGGATATTACTCATATTTTAGGAATTCATATTTCTTTTCTTAACTTATAACATTTTTCATTAAATAAACACATGTGTATATGATTGCTTTTTGCTTCTATAATATCCTATTGTGTATTCAGCATATTTGAAACATATCTACCCTATCTTATAAAGGAATTCTCTGCATCTATTTTATTCCCCTCCTTCTTTCTCTCCCCTAGACATATATTCTGGAACAGTGATGGGGAAGAAATGACTGGATCATGGACAGACACTGATATAAGAGAAATCAGAGGCTACTAAGAAAACTGAACTGTGGCCAGACCTAAATGATGGCCCCAACTAATGATTCTCTACTTTCCATGTCCTCAATGACCTAATTCAATATGTTCATGTCCTATTTCTAATCTAAAGACTCTTGATCAGCATTGTTATAGGCAGCTAGACAGACATAAAAAGAGCAAGGACAATGGGCCAGGTATAGAAACTCACCAGGGCAGAGAGCCCCTGATGCTCAACAAGGGGCAAAACTGGGAAACAAAAACCTCAGGTCAGAGTAACCTATCCTCCCCTAGCACACCACTAGTCATGCAATTTAGACCCCCGGACCTTGTTCTCCCTAAAGATAGCATCTAAGCCTCAGTTGTATTTCAGCTCCAGGCCCAGAAAAGCAACAAAACACAGACAAGGGACTTCTTGGCTGTCTCAAGACCAGCTACACTGATTAATGAACACCTGTCCTGGCACTGACCAATCAGAGGATACCACAACCCTCAAAAAGCATACCTGGAAAACTGATGAATATTCTATTAAGACCCTCCCCTGTAACCTCTCCTAAGATTTCCACTTGCAAGAGAAAGGTAAATAAGCTCAGGATGAAGGAACCAGTGCATGCTCTCCCCCAAGGGAAGATACCAGTGCCATTCCCTTTCCCCTTCTTCCCTCTAAGGGAACCATGACACTTGCAATCAGGGGAGCAATGAGCAGCAGCAGCTCGCCCAGAGCTAACCCCTTGAACTGTCTCCAAGGCCTCCTTTTCTCTGACTTCTCAGTGAACCAAAACAGCCCAGCCTGGGCTCTCCTAATGCCCTTCCTTGTTTCTCAGTATATTTTTGCTATAGCCAATAAATTCTTACTTACTTTGCCACACTTTGTATCTTGATTAAAAACTTTCCTTCCAGGAAACAGAAACCAAGGTCTTGTCATCCCTAGTAACAGTGCTACTTACCTCATGGAAGCTGGAACTGCAACTCTGTGGCTCATTTTCTAGTGTCCTAAGAATGTTGAGAGGGAACACTAAGAAAGTACTGCTTGGCCATGGCCAAGATACAGTTGTAGCTCCTAAAAAGAGCCCCTTTCTCTGTTGAAATTGAAAATTTGGGGAACAGCAGATAAGCTACTAATCTAACACCTGATTCGTATATAATGAACCTAGAATTCTCTAGAGTGGTCTCCCTTTCCTCTCAGTTTGAAGGGTCATCCCAACAGCACACATCTCCAGCCTCTGAAGATGTCTGTCCCAGTATTTACAAAAACAGAATAGCTGGCACATAATAAGGCAGGTGATAAGATGCGCGGCTATTCTTTGATCAAATAGAAAACCTTCTGCCACAATACCACAAAGGCACTTTCTATATAGCTCAGATATAGTGAATCAAGTATCTGTGGACCACATATTATATGTACAGCACAGCGAACATTTTCTCATCTTTGTTCCCTGCTGCTTTCCATTCTATGGCAGTGGCGTTGAATGCTGATAAGATAATACCTCTTTCAACCTCTGGCAGACATTTTAAAGCAATTTGTTCAAGTACCAAAGACCCAGTCTGCATTTTTCTGGGCAATTTGTGGATCAAATTTTCTATCAACTTGAGGGTATTCTGAGTTTTAAATATAATGGCTTACCACGAACACAGTACATCTCCTTTAATTTGATTTATTTCATATATCAGTAGACCCCCAAAACATGCATTTTAACAGAGATATTTGATATCAATTCAAACATGAATAAAATAGAAGTTAAAGAGAAAAAATAACTTATTTTTCTGTATGTTTTCCTAGTATTTATACATATTTTATTTGGTTTTATTATTTTTATATTATTGGAGATAAAAATTAATTCAGAACTAACCAAACTACTTCCTTAATAATTGAGAGTCAAATATAACCTAGGTATTAGAAACTTAATTTGTATGTCTTAAATTAATTAATAAAAATGATAATGACACATGTAACACCTTAATCAATAAAGAAATTTTAAAAAATAAAGTGTAAAGAAGAGAGAAAAATAAGTAAATAAATACAAATAATTTATTTTAGTCAACCTTATTTTTATATACATCCTATCTAATAAAAAGGGAATATACTAATTGACCCTCAGATCATTGCAAACATGGCAGCACCCACAGTCAGTAAGGAGGGAATATGCTAATTGACTGCCATGCCTCCAAAGATGGCGGCGTCCACAGCCCCTCCGGGGTGGCAGCCACGCAGCAAGACTGGGCCCGCCGCAGGCCCAGTCACTCCAGGTGCCTGCCTCCCGCGTCTCTCAGTGCTCTCAGTCCCCCAGCTGCCCAGGGTCCAAGTTACAGACAAATCTCAGATTGTGGCTGCCCAGCTGCCCAGGGCCGCGCAAGGCTCAGGTAACCAGGGCCAGCCAAGGCTTCTACTGCTGGCAATGGCAGCAGCAGAGGTCTGATGGGGTGTCGCCTTCCCCTGATCACCGGGTCACCTCCTGCCCCTGAGGACTCCCAGACTGTGAGAGGGGGCATGGTGGGCTGAGGGACTCCCCCTCCAGTGCATGAATTTTCATGCACCCAACCTCTAGCATATTGATAATATCCTTCATTTATTCTTCATGTATTCCCCCATACATATATTCTTATTAAACTCCATAAAACCAAAGTCAATGATTCCCCTAAAAAGAATATGATCCTAAATAGAATGTGTTCTTATGTTTTAGAGCTATTACTGGTTTGAATAAAAATTTTTAAAAATCTATTGTACACACTGGAGGTAATAATAATTATCATTATTATGTACATTCACATAATTAAGATGTTAAAAAATATATATGCACAAACATATGCATATTATACTATATACGTCTATAGAACTAGAGTGTTCACAATATACATTTTATTTTCTTCAAACATCTTTTACACAAGAGAGTAACACAGGTTAAATCCTAGATTATGCCATAGTTGAAAAAATTCATAATGAAGAAAAGAAATGACTTTCCTCCTCATCTTTTAAAAAAAGAGAGGTAAAATGTGGAAAATAAAAGGCTTTCAAATGTCTTTTCCAGTAGTCACAATTACCTGGTTTCTTAAAAATGCTGGTGGTATGAATTTTCAATCAATCAGGAAAAATAAGTTTCTATCAGAAGCCAAGACACACATCATTTGAAATAGTTGCCATTCATATAAAGATTCCAAATAAGAAATAAATCATTCCTTATTTATGTTTCATGTCTCTTTTTATTCACTATTAATCCTGTAATTTGAGCTAAAGTAATCCTTATAATATCACCTTCCTAAATTTTGATTAATATTAATTGATTCTGATTCTCATTGCCCAATCATTCCTTATCATAGATAAGTTTGCTGGTGCAACCAAATACTAATGACCTAAAAGTGTTCATTCATTACTATAATGTACAATAGTGACCAATAATTTGGGTTAATTACAATAAGTAAAGGTATAATTAATGACATTTAAAATATATGCTAGTCTATGTTACACATTAACAAATCTTCAACACTACATGATCTAAAGAGAGCTTAGTGTTTTTATAATACATTATGAACACACCTTTCTTGAACATCATTCCAATCTCTCAGAAGCCTTTCATTTTCTTTCTGCAGGTGCTCATTTTTGGCTTGGTTTTCTACAATAGTGTCCAGGCAGTCACAAATAAGTTTTCTAATGACCTCAGCTGGGCTTGTGACTTTCTCTAAGTTGAAGGAACCAAGTCTGAACTAGGAAGAAAGGAAAATATGATTAGCTTTAGAAGAATATAAAAACTGAGCAGCCCAGTTTTAAATACACATAGTTTTTTCTAACGGGAAAAAGTTTGATTCAAATACAGCACATTTACCGGATATATAATGAACAAAAAATTGGACAACTTTCTTCTTCCTTATTAAACTTTACCACATAAAGCAACATATAACCTAAGAATAATTTTTGTAAATTGTAATTCACTCTCCCATCTCCTAGCAGAGAACAATATAAATGCCATATGAGGATATTATCATGTTTGCTATAACCTTATTTAAATCATTCTGCTGGGATTAAGATAAGAAATCACACATGAGGATTTTTAATGCTAATTTCTGTTAATATTGAAGGTAAACTTGAATAATTGACATAAGCTATTTCTGAAGAAAGAAAATTTTAGTAATAGCTAAAAGAAGTGAAGGTTTTTAGGAAACTGATAAACCCGGGGACACCACACAGTAACAAAAGCAATGATTTATCACTATCCTATATGATAAAAGGCTAATATGCAAGTAGACCAAACTGCAGAACCACCGAACAACTGGTTGCTATGATGTGTGCTGACAACCAGGGGGTGTGCGCCAAACACGGCAGTGTTGGCCATGGTGGGATAGTGGAGCAGGTAAGAGGAGGCACCAGACCAAAGTGGGGCACTGTCATCGGGGCAAGCCTCTGCTGGTTACTGAAAATTCTTTGCTACCGTGTGCCATGGTCCCTCCTGGTGCTTGCACCTGCTGCTGGCACCAACCCAGCTTACACCCACTGTTGGCACTGAAGCCACCACTCAGCACCCACTGCCAGTGCCCAGCACCAACCCTATCACTCAGCACCAACAGTGAGTGTGAGCGGTGGCTGCCAGCTCCAATAGCCTTCAGAGCTTATCCACCTACCCCTGCTCCAGAGGAGCAATTGGGGCAGCAGCTGCCACTCACACCTGCTGACTGTGCTGGCCCTGCTGGCACCCACTGCTGGCACTGGCCCCAGTTGCTCTGCTCTTTCAGTATGTGTGAGTGGGGCTGGCACCATTGCGCGTGGGAGCAGCAGCAGTGGAAGTGGGGCTGCTGGTAGACAGGGGATCTGGGGCCACGATGAGAGGGGCTGAGCAGGGGTGTGGTGCATGGGCCGAGATTTGCCCCTGTGCCTACTGCAGCCTCGCAGCTCACAGTTCCTTTCAAAGTGCACAAATTTGTTCTTGGCCCTATTCTACAATAATAAAAGCACAATATGCTAATTATATGGGGGGACCTCCTGGATGAAGCCAAGGCTACGAGGGAAGCCCGGGTCCCAGATGCCTGCTAATGGCTGGAAAGAAGTGCAGGTCCCAGATGTAGAGGGAAGCCCAGGTCTCAGGTTCTGGAGGGAAACTGGTGCTGGCAGCCGGGAAAGGAAGTCCTACTCTTGCACGAATTTTGTGCATCAGGCTTCTAGTAAATTATAAACAATAAAGAACTTAATTCTTCTTGTAGGGGGCATTTTAAAATAAGACAGTATGATATGGTTTTAGTTACAGTTATGGAATTCTGAAGGATACAAAAGGTTCTCATTTGGCAGATAGAAATAATGAAAAGCAATTAATAATTACAATGATCTTCACTACTAAAATTATAATTATTGCAAGAACCAGTAAGATTTTAAAAATAAATACTATTATATATCTGCCATATATAATAGTGGAAGAATCCACAAATATAAATTCAGTGCACCACACTGAACCACAAATATAAATTCATCTAATCATCACCAAATGTGCACCACAAATATAAATTCATCTAATCATCACCAAAATGGAACTAATATACATTTTATAGATATTATAAACTGGGGTTCAGAGTAGTTATCTAATAGAGTGAAAGAATCAAGTCAAGATCCAACTCTGCTAAACTGTTCGGCTGTTTCCTGACATAAGAAGATATCCTAACTAAACAACTAGGAAGAGGAAACATGAAGTTCAAACCCTCCACAAAGAGATTCTGATGACAGTGAGTGGCACAACAGAGAGAAAAAGTGAGAATTTTTTTGTTTTGTTTTGTTTTAGCCTTTTAGATTAATAATTTCTACTATGGCATTTCTCTAATAAGAACATTTCCAAATGTCTTGATTTAAAAAGAATCCTATATAATGAAGAGGTAATATGCAAACTGACTCTCACAATTGACCCCATGACCAGGCCAGCAGGGAAGGGCAGTTGGGTCTGACCAGTCCTGCAGGGGAGGACAGCTACCCACAACATTACAGATGCAAGACTCCACTTGCCATATACACTGAATTTTGATGAGGACTTCATATCTGTCTGAATAAATTCAGAGGCAAAAAGTATTTCTGTGCTCTAATCTATATTCAGCCCATCCTTATCCTGCCACTCAAATGAAAAGTGGCAATGGAGGAAAGTATTGTTTTTAAAACTAGCAAATTTGCACAAAAGCTATATTATAAGGTTGGGTCAATTTTAAATTCTTTAGCTTTTTGTTTGACAAGTAAGGCTATTAGCATGACTGTTCTTTATTTATTAATTCTGTCATTTCAAAATAATCTACAATATAAAATCTGGGCTTCAAATGGTACACCAGAATCAGAAACCACAAATTAAAGACATTTTAAAAGCATATTTATTCCTTAGAAGCATGGGCAAAGATATGTTTCTTTTTGTAGTTAGTTCCAAGGATCTTTTGAAGATTCAATGTACTACGTAGATTTATACTGAGCACCTCAATCAGTTTATAATCTAAAATTTAAGGTGTCTTTATTTTTCTATGTTAAAAAGTTGAAAACAATTAACTTTTTAAATGTTGTCAATCATGGTAAGTTACACTAGACAAATATATAATTGCATATGCATATTTGTAAAATTCTAGTAATATAGGAAATCAGTCATGTTAAGTAATAAATAGGAGAGTAAACAATATTACTTTGGCCTAGTTATATTAATCATTAATTGTTAAGTATTTTGAATCAACTGTATCTTCACTAAGACCTTTTTATCATTAACTCTTTGTATTAGTACATGCTCAAATGTTTATTTTACAGTTAAACCAAAAAAAAAAAAAATTACAAATGAAACTTCTAAAGCAGTAACATATCTAAGTTGACAACTGGTCATATTTATCTTCCAAGGTAGCTAGAATTGAGAAAAAAACACTGAGAACTAAAGAGGCAAGAGATCAATATTTTGAGACTACTGATATTACTTTTCCAACCATTTTCCTGTCCAACTTTCTTACAGCTCAAAAAAAAAAAAAAAATGCTTAAACCTCCCAGATTGAATGATCAAGAAGGCTCTGCAGCCCTGGCTGGTTTATCTCAGTGGATAGAGCTTCAGTCAATGGACTGAAGGGTCCTGGGTCAATTCCAGGCAAGGATACATGCTCAATTTGTGGGTTTAATCCCCAGCAGGCAGCTGATCAATAATACTGCCTCATCATTTATGTTTCTATCTCTCTCTCCCTCTCCCTTCCTCTCTGAAGTTAATCAAAATATATATTCTTTTTAAAAAGGAGGCTCTTGCCGAAACTGGGTTGGTTCAGTGGATAGAGCATCGGTCTGCAGACTGAAAGGTCCCAGGTTCGATTCCAGTCAAGGACATATACATTGGTTGTGGGCATATCCCAGGTAGGGGGTGTGCAGGAGGCAGCTGGTCAATGTTTCTCTCATCGATGTTTCTAGCTCTCTATCCCTCTTCCTTCCTCTCTGTAAAAAATCAATAAAATATATTATAAAAATTAAAAAAATAAAAAGGAGACTCTACATATTTTAGATCCTGTAGGTTCTAAAATCAAAATGCAATAATCTAAAGGTAAAAAATGTGCTGAGCTCTAATTATAGTGCTTCAAATTATTAGCATTTCAAGACCATGCTATCTGCTTTAATATATTAAGTATCATCTAAGAAATCTTATTTCAGTCTTTATAATTGTAAAAAAATCATTGGTGGAAGTCAGAGAATCCTTGAGAACAAAAATCCAAGTCTATGTGGTTAGGGAATAAAAGAAGTTACTTTTACTTAGAATGACTATAAATGTTCACTCCATTAGTATGTTAAAATACAGGTAATAAGTCATTGGGTTCACAGGAAATATAGTGAAATTTATATTTATCTTAGTTTAATTGGGAGTTTTAATTAACAATCAGAAATTATACTATATATAAATTCAGAATCAACTAGAAGGCTTTCTTATAGTAACTGGTCAAATTAAAAGACATTATGTTGATATTAGAAACATTTTGAACAAAATATTTTATAAAACCTTGCATTAACTATAACTCTATTTCCTTAAAATCAGTTATCATAAACCAATAAACTCAACACTAGTGATCCTTTAAAAGTCATAGTATTACAAAGTATCTTTAAATCCTCAATTTAAATAAAATGAGAAAATATAAAATCAAGACAAAAAATGCTCAGTTATTATATAGCTTATAAATTTATTTTTAAAGTTTTTAAAGCTTAATAACTATCTTTTAAAACTACAGATTAAAAATTATTCTGCCATATATTGTCATTCAAAAGTACTTAATAAGAATCCAAAACTCTTTATTTATAATTTTATAATTTAATGGCAGATCTCTAGGAAACAAAAATTTCTATCCAAAATATTTACACACAAAAACTGATAATATTTACTTTGATTCATTCCCTTAGTTAATCAGAGAAAGATAAAAACAAATTATTGTTCTAAAAACATTTAAAAAATTTAAGGTGGTTTTTAGGTGCATAATTACATAGAAAAACTATTTATAAGCTGTAAAATGTAGCATCTAATTTTGATGAGATTAAGAGGAACTGATAAATACAATGAATGCTAACTATGCATTTAATTGAATTTTCTTGAAAAGAAAAAAGTAATTAAATATTAACAATAGGTTAGTTTCAGTTCAGGTACTAATAGCAAAGTAAGCTGCACTAGACTAACCCTGCTGGAGATAATAATTACAAACAATGAACCAGAAAGAAAAAACAAAAAAAACACAAAAATCTAAAATCA